CCCCCCCCGCCCCTTCTCTTCGGCCCAGCAACTATGAGCCAAGAATTTGGCTAAACCAAGCCATTCTCCTTAAATCCTCCTCAGCTCTAACCTCTCTGCGTGCTGGAGATAAGAAGGGTGTTAGAAGAGAATGATTTAACCTCCTCAGAGCAGGCTGGCAGAACCATCAGAATATTGCTGCAGATGTAGCAGAAATGAGCACCTACTGCCTTCGATAGAAGTATGTATAAAATCAACAAGACCCCAAGGACATCACCTTATTCCCACTGACGTTAAATGGCTAATTGCATTGAACTAGAGTCTACCGCTGAGCGCATCCTATTTCACCTGAGTACAGGAGGCACCTTCATCTCCAGAAGTTACCTGCTGTTCTTGGTGTCATACTGCCTCATGTTCTTGATGAAGTGCATCTTCTTCAAACTTTTGTGTCTTGGAGACCCAGATATATGCTTGGTTCTGCAATTATAAAGAAACACCACCACCTGTTAAGTGCTCTGAAAAAGAGTCATGCCAGTTGTATGATCAGATGGCAGCACTAGCATGCAGGACCTCAGATATTGGCGTGGAAGAGGGTGGAGGGAGGAGAGGACTGCATGCAACGAGTTGAGATTAATGCTGCTTTTGAAAAAAGTACCTTCGTACACTGGCATATTCCACTATGTCTTCTAAAAAGTCTAGAGAGCAGCGCTGGGAGATAAAACGCCTTCTGTAAAATGTACAACACCACGAAGAGTGAACAATATTAGTTCATGGCCTCTGAGTTTATGAACTGCAACAGATCTATGAGCTCTTAGGACAAACGGCAGGTTTTCTGGATTTTTTTGTTTGAAGAGTGCTTAACTAAGAGTTTCAAGTTCCTAAAAAGGCCAAGAACTTATCTCCCCCTCCAGGACCCTTGAAGTACATATTTATACCAACTTCATTAACAGGAGCATTCACTACCTTCAACACATGAGAACGCCTACCTATAAGTTAAACACCTAAAAAGCTTCCAATGCTCATTTAAAAACTTACAAGAAATATTGCAAAAAGCCCCCCCTCATCAAGGCAAGGGAGTAAGTCATTTTATATCAATCTATGGACAGACACAGGTATATCTGTATGATGACTGAGCATCTGTGTGTATTCTCAATTCAGAACACACTCGCCTCCAGCTGCAGGAGTCAGCAGACTGAGAGGCTATGACAGTAGCTCAATACAATTGACAGATCTCTCTGGAAAACAACAGAGAAGGCTATTAGAGGAAGCAAAGAGTATTTGGTACCCATCTGAAATCCCAGCATGGAAGATGCAAGGAGAATAATAGTAGGAATCATGTGAGTTAGTGTAACAGTAATGGGATATTACATTTAAGCAAAAAAATAGACCTTGCCAAAGTAAGATACATTACTAGTGTCAAAGTCAAGACATTCTTTGTTGGTAGAGATTTACAAATTAATTGTGAAGCTATGACTGCAATTTCCATAGGAACAGTGCACCCAGATTCAACCGCCACCAGCAAAACACTGACACTACAACTATCAGATTCTCTATTTTCTGCTTTTGTTTAAGCATATGTTGTGCTACATTTTTAGCATAAGCCACATGCATTCAAGTCTAAGGTTTTCTTCCAAAGTGACACAGTAACTCAACTAATGGACAACACTGCCATGGAAGTCAATGTAGAAGCAGCATACGAGACAAAATTTGCAGGACTCTGGTTTGACGAGATATACTTTTGGAAAAAATTCAAACTTTAAACTGCATCAGATCTCTGGCACCCATGAGCAGCCAAACCGCTCAGACAGACCAAGGCCAGGCTCTCATGCCTTGGAAGTTAGCATCCAACACCAAAGCAAAAGCATGGCACCGTGGGTGGGTGCAAAGGGTGTGGCGGTAGGGGAGAGGTGAAGAAAAATGGGATTTATTAACTGTAAACAGCTACAGAAGAGTTTCTACACAGCAAAGCCATTTGTAGCTTCCGTTGATGCAAGTTAAAAGATCAGAAAAAGCTACTTGGGATTAAGTCTGGTCTTGAAGGCCAGCACTTCAAGATTCTGAAACAGCTGGACCATCTGCTAATCCTAGTGACTTTGCCTTTCCTCCTCTCCAGCCTGAGCTGGGTAAGAAACCAAACCACACTGCTTTGTTGCTACAGAAGAGACAATCCAGAGTTCTGGACATGAACAAAATACGTCTGCTTTTTCTTAAGCATGGTGTCTAGTAATGCAAATTACCCAAGTGACAAAACAGGTGCTTTCACCTCTTTTCCCCCCTTCTTGCAAGTTATTTCCTTTCTTCTGAGCTACTTGGAGCTCTTGCCAGAGCTGCCTGCCAGAAACTGTGCCAACGAGACGCGGCAGTTTCCCTCCGCACGGCACATCGCTGTTATAGGCAGCGTTGCGGATGCACAGAACTTACTATAAAATTATGGATTTCCACAACAAGCAGACAGCAGCAACAGGAGTATTTGCCCCTCTTGCTTCAAGCTATACCAGGAACACAAAAGCCAGCACTTTAGAAAAGATGCTGTTCCAGTATTCTTCCTTATACATAGACATAAATGTTACTTAAAACTGCTGATCTGCAGGCAAGCCTCTGCAGTAAGGCCTCTGAAGTGATTCCTGTAGTTGTACCTATCAACGATTATCTAGAGGCTTTGCAAAATAACACTTCAATCTGAGTATTCCTGAAACCAGGTTAGTTCCTCATTCCCCACTACAAGTTCATGAGAAACAATTCACCATTTTCTCTGTATTCCCAAGCGCATAAAGAGAATAAACGCCAAACTAATGAGCATTTTTCATCTTCCTGAAGTGTGCTTACAATCTCCTTAATAAAATATTAGTGCCCTTTCTCTGTGAATAACTTATACTCCCATATAAAACTTTATTTTTTGCCTTAGAAGGAAATTGTCTTCAGATTCTTAACAGTGCTGTTCAGGCAGGCTTTAAAAAAAAAAAAAAATCACAATTCAAACAGGTAGGAGGATGAAAAATCAGTGTCCCTTTCTGTAAACACAAGAGAGGTAAATCCTCCCACAGGACTAACACCTTCAGTATTGCTAGAAACCACCTCCTACAAATCAACAGCTATTAAGGGTGCTACTGAAGAACATTCCCGACACAGCTTCAATGCCCTTCACCAGCACTTCAGTTTTAATTTTTTTTTTTTTTTTTTTTTGCTTTTCAGTGTGAACTGGTTTAATGCTTTCACATGCACGTGGTTCTCCAATCTACTGTGGCATCTAACCTGCAATAAAAAACCCTTCATGAAATGTGGAGACCAAGCTCAAACCTCCTGGCACGAATGCAGCTGGTAACGTCCCCAGTCTTCCTCCCCTCCTGGGGAAACCTGGCTGGATGCAGGCAAAGACGCCATGTGCGGTGAGCAAAGGGGAAACACAGCTAATGCTGACAACAGGCACTGCTACAAAAAAAGCACGTAGTTCTGTAAAAGGATGCCAGTCAACTGGACGGACTGGGAGAGCCACGGCTAGACCCTCGCTACTATCTCCACAGTGCTGTAGGTGCAGCTGCCCTCAGGGTCAACAAGGGTGTTGTGGAGACCCACCTGGGGCATTGCACCTTCTGAACACCACCTCGCCTTCTCAGGAAGAGGGACAAAAGTGACAAACACCTGAACCTGCTGCTCTGTATGAGCATATTGGGAAGGAAAAGCCTGCTGCACTGAAGGGCAGATCCTGTCCCTTGACTCAAAGCCACAATGACTCATCCCTACTCTGCCAACAGGAAACTTCATTTTTAGCTACGCTTGTAAATAATATTTTCTGTCCTCAAGTGAAGCTGTCACCTTGGAGGAATCCCAGATGCTAAGCAAGTCGCTCTCCCGCAAATCTCAAAACAAGGTGTATATAAAGAGGTCTCACTAATCCAGTTAGAGTACCTGAAAGTTTGTCTGCCCAAGCCAACGCCTTACAGCAACACAGCTCCCTTGCTGCAGTCCGAGAGACTCGCTAGATTCCTCAGCACGACTAATGTACAGAACTTCGTCAGGTAGTGCGGTACTTGGAGTATGCTGCAAAATTTAACACTTTTTGAGTAGTCTGCACATATATGTGTGTGTATATAACAATATTTTCCTTAGTTTGAGTGCTCTTCTCATGCAGCAAATCCACACTTCAACAATAAGCAGCACAGGATCGCTTCAGCAGCTGCTAGCTTCGATGAAAAAACGTCGAGTCACGTACCCTGTGCTAAGCAGCTTCACCTAGGATAACACTTCTTGCTTGTGGGCTGATCCACCGGAATTCAAAGGATTAAGTAGTTTACACTGAATGTTTGTTGCCAAACACAACCGAAATACTAAAACAGAATACCAACACCTATACACGCACTCACTGCAAGTTACCTTACACATGCCCTTACCACCATGCTACCTGCCAATTAGAAATCAAAGTATCCAATATTAAAACGTTAATGAGTTCTGTGGAGCAGGCTGTAATTTCAACAGTATACTAAAGAAAGTTCAAACAGGCAGTTCGCTGATACCATTTCCTTGATAAGCTATAGAGGGTTTGTTTGTTTGTACGTCCTTGGCCAGGAGCTCATTTCTGGGTGCTTCCCCCCCCGCTATTTCAGGAGCCAATAAAGCAGGACCCTCCCAGAACTTCAACATTAAAACCAGCAACTGTGTTGACACAGCCAGCACCTCCGAGGGGACCCACCAAGAGAGAAAACACACGCAGCACATGCTCAGAGATAAGGGGTTATCAAGCAGAGGAATTCTGGATTACGCCTTGGCTTGTTATCTCCATGTGCACACACGGACGCGCACAATCCAACACGGCTGCCGAATCCCCGATGAGCTAAACATGCCCTTAAAAAAAAAGCCCCACAAAAAATCTTGGGTTTGGATAAAAACCCCACAAATTATGTTGAGTTTCATTTTGACTCCCACCCTGGGAAGCAGAAGCCAGCCCACACGTATATCCTTTCTGATGGATTTCCCACTGAGGAAACCCAACTTCTGAGTGCTTCCAGCTTCCCAGTTGTCCTCGTCTGGTCCCGCTGGTGTCCCACCAAGCGCTGGCAGAGAAACTCTCTGCAGATGGTGAACAACAACAGACAAACGCACGCAGGATCCCCAGCCCCAGGGTTGACACAGCTCTTAAGTGCTCCCAGCAGAACAGGACACAGCTAAGAGGAAAAAGCTGGTTAATTCACAGCTCCAGATTAAAGAACACTGCCCCTTCCGACAGCTTGCCACGAGTATTTTCCCCTTTCCCACCCACGGGCTGGGCTACCTGTAGACACCCAAGAGGACAAGGGTAAAGTTTCAGGGTGTCGCTGTAGTTGGAAGTATCCAAGTCGACCGTTCTTTAGCAGATATTATAGTTGAATGCAAAAGAGATACTGACCCTGCGCTATCAGACGTAGCTTCAGGCACAGGCAAGCCTCTTCCACGCCTGCTCCTGGGCCACTGTGTCCTCCAGGGGACAGTGGGGCAGCCCTTTGGGCATCTGCGTCCCTGCTCAGCACTCCCAGGCTCTGCAACAGCCCTCATGAACCTCACTGTAACTTCTAATAGATCAGTCTTTAAATTGCAGCGGCCAATGATCTTTCTTAAGCCACGGCATGCAGCTGCCATTTGGCCATTTTGAAGCTTTTCTCTGTTTTGCCCTTCTGGTTGCTGCATTTCTGCTACAGCAGGTGAATGGACTGGCTTGTCTTGCTCCTTCCTGAAGGGTTACATCAGAAGTTTCTA